GTCTATGGAAAGGTATATACTATGAAATTTAGAGCGAGGGGCTTGCCCCAAGCTCTTAATTTCATAGTATATACCTTTCCATAGACTATCCAATTTAGCACATATTTACAACTCGAGTAATCTTTTAATTGGTCTATTGATAGTTTATTTTGGCTGACTACTTGTATCACAGGTGTTTGTAAAACGGAGCTCATTAACGAATTTTGTAAATCTACTCACTAGTATCATTGTAATATATGTGATTTCAAAAGGCCCTTGACTCCAGAATGAAAAGATGGTAGCTGCTGGTGTAAGTATGTATACTGATTTAAAGCGGTGTTTTACTATACATGTTCTTCTTACAAGGTAAGATGACAAAATAAATTGACCAAAAGCAGGCAATAATTAAATCGCAGTGGAAGCTTTACATGTTTTGAAAACATTTTTTAATTTCACAGTAAAACTAAAGCTATAATAAATTTGAAACATTTAGATAGTTTGTCCCCAAAGATATAGTCTAGCAGATAGGCATTAAAAAGCAACTACAAATAGATCAGAGATTATAGGTTTTGTGTGTTTTTTTTTTTTTTATTAGTTCAAAGTAAAAACTAAAAGATTTATCAGAATATGTTTATATATATATATATATAGGTGGCACATTATCTTCAGACATCATCACAGTTTTTCAATTCATGACATCGTCCTGAACATGCATGAAATATTTGCCACTGGACATTAAGCAACCAATAATCAAAAAATCAATCAATTCATGACGAAATAGATCACTTTCCTTAAGAAAGTTTTTAAAATTATCACCAAGTTGCTTTAATTTTCCTTCACAAGGTTTCATAGTACACACTTTTCTGTGTACAAAGTAATTGCATGGATGATACATTATCATAATTTTAAGATATCGTTGTACTCTTATCAAGGTATAAAGAACCATATGTATTACCCTTTATTTAAATGATAAAATTTGCAATTGTCAAAAACATTTTTTAGATCCAAAGATTTTAATAGCAGGATATTTAAAAATCAATGTGAAAACTAATTACAAACTATTTAATTTAATTTGGAACACAGCATTTTATTTCAAAATAGCCAGTGGCAATTTTTGTTTTAAATATCTTGATTACGACACAATGAAATCTTACCCTTGTGGTCATTCATGCGTAGTTACTTAGTACACAGGAAAAGTATGTACTATGAAAATTAGAAGGCAAATATAAGCAATTTGATTGGACGAGAAGTTGTAAGTATGTGCTAAACAACAGAAGGGTATATTATCCTTAAAGAAATTATTTGGTACCTACTTTACTGCATCAGATGCACATTTCGGCGATTTGTGTTTCTTCACTCATATTACAGTGGCTAAACCGGTGACCAAAAATTATATTCACTCTTCTAATGTAAACGTCGAGAAAATCAATAATAAAACAATGTCCGACTGAGTACACCTGTCTTCTTTTGTCACGTGAACTTTCAATACAGAAATATTGTTTTTCATGAATATAACAATTTAAAAGTGCAGGTTAAAAAAAATTAAGGATACATATTTTTGTTAAGTAGATTATCCGTAAAATACTTTTTTTTATACAATTTTAGGAAAAGGTCGTCTCGATTTCTGTACATGTATTTACGGTCTTCTCGATTTATTCACATTCAATGTTTACATCGGGATACGGTCAGTTCGAATTTGCTTAGTAACTTAATTTCAAAAGTGTCAATCTTTGTTGCACATCAATCGATTCCTTTGGATTTTTTTACCTGAACTTTTCTGATCTAACTGCATACATATACGGACAATTGGCATGTTCCAGAGAGGTATACAAACAGTAGAAAAATAAATTGAAGTTGGTACACCAGGAATTTTTTCGCATAGCAACATTTTAAACCAATCTTACACATAGCTCTTATAACCTGGTGTATTCTTCGTTTGTTATTTAAGGAGGGAAATGATAGCATTAAATGGAAATTTTGTTTTTATTTTTACTGTTTAACAGAATATGTTCTCACCGATTTATAATTGATAGCGTCCTCGCTGAATCGGGACAAACATTGAAAAGATAATGTTTTCAGTGTTTACCGGGGAGAGAATATTTTGTCACTAGATTTCCAACTGGTCAGTGATTCTCTGTTCTGTAAATCAACTGTGAAGTTTTTAATATTTTTGATATATAAAATAAAATGATTTTCAATTACCCATTGTTTATGTAACAATAAAGATGAACATAAATTTTTCTCAATGAATTTTGGAATACTTTCTTTTTTTATTAATAAATTGTGATCGATTAATTTTTAATACGTATGCAACTAGTTACTGGTCTTATTGCCTAAATTGTCTGTTTTTTTTTTCTTTCTTTTAATCGAACTTTTTGCTGTTCAAGTTTGCTAGTATTGTGTGACTAAGTTTTTTTCACTCTTCGCCAAGGTGTCGTCTGTCCTATTTGTGATGAATTTTTATTGCCCTTGACGTACAATTTCGTATTTGTATAAAGTAATAAAATTGGACATGAATACTGTGGCTCATTTGCAGAACATGTAAATGCCTGATTGTTGCTAACGTCCAGTGGCAAATTTTGCATGCATGTTCAGGACGAGAACAAATTCACTCAATAGGCAGGTTCTGTAAGGGAGGTAGACAGGGATAAAGGGTCGGAAATTTGAAATGTCAATGAACAATGAGGACATGTTGAAAGGGGTAGTCATATATATATTTATATTGTTCATATGCCTTCAACTCCTCGGGATATGAGCTTATTAAAGTCTCCGAATAAAGTATTTTTATGATTAAAATTTACTACCGTGTTGATTGACTGTTGACCCTCCCTTGGTGCTTACATGTATAATCAAAAACGTTCGGATAGAAGGGGGGGGAGGGTGTGTAAACAAATCAGGGGTCTATTCAAACGTCTGCTTTCACATTCTTTAAAGCACCCTTTAACAAGCTTAGGTAGGAAACTTGTTACTATTGCAGAGACTAGCGGACATCTATGTGCTACCAGTCCTCGTCTTCTGCAACGGGGTCACTCTTTAAAGTATGCGAATGCACCGTTTTCCGTTTTAGTTTTTAGTGTTGTTGTTGTATGTCCTTTCTTCATTTTGAGTTGTCGTGTCTTTTCAATGTTCAGTCTATGGCTCAAGCACAATATGTTGAATGCATGTGGCACCTGGAATCACTACAATATGTTTAGTTTATGAGACACCTGAAATCATTACAATATGTTTATTTTATGTGGCACCTAAATTCACTACAATATGTTTAGTTTATGTGGCACCTGAAATCACTACAATATGCTTAGTTTATGTGGCACATGATATCACTACAATATGTTTATTTTATGTGGCACCTAAATTCACTACAATATGTTTAGTTTATGTGACACCTGAAACCACCACAATATGTTTAGTTTCTGTGACACTTGAACTCACTACGAACAATTGTTTATCTGCACCTGAAATCACTGCACAATATAAGTTTAAATAGCACCTAAATTCACTTCACTTTGTTTAGTTTAAGTGGCGCTTGAATTCATTACAATATGTTAGGCTTATGTGGCACCCGAATTCACTATATTATGTTTAGTCTATGTGGCACCTGAAATCAATACACTATGTTTAGTTTATGTTGCACTTGAAATCATTGCACTAAGTTTAGTTTAAGAGACACCTGAAATCACTACTTGTTTTAGAGGGTGTTTGTATTTGTATAAGTGCTGAAAGTTCGTACACCTTGATGATTGTAACTTAATTTACTATGCTGCACCACTTCCAGTAAACATGATCTTTCCAATTCCCTGGTCTGATGTCACAACTTGAAAAGACGCAACTTTTTTTGAACATTCAGATAGATGTTTCAGTTTAGCATAAACTTTTAATCAAACATAACACATTGAGTCCAGAAAAAAAAATCTTAAAAAATTGACTTTTTTATTTCACTCATGCATGTTTTGAGAAACTGGAGTAGTAATACAAGGCTGGTACCAAAAAGAAATCACTTCGCTATAGATTATATGCATTCTGCCGTTACCATGGAAACTGCAAAAATGTCAAAAAATTCAAAATGCTTCAAACTTAATGAAACTTTACACAAATGTTGACTGTCTTATGTAATTGTGGCATTTGACTTTGGAATTTCCAAAATGGCCACCGTAACCATGGAAACACGAATGCCTAAATTTGAAAATTGGTCCAATTTTTATGAAACTTGTAAGTAATGTGACCTGTCACGTGTAGATGTGATATCCGACTTTGAAATTTCAAAATGGCTGCCGTTACCATGGAAACAACAGAACAATGGTTGGGGGCCGTTTTGGCGACTTTTGTGTTAGCATCCTAACACAGGATTACTTGTTTAGTTTGGTTTTGTTTTTTTTTTGTCCTTTTTTGTAGGTTCGATTGTTTGTTTGTATGTTATTGTATGGTATTTAAGATCCTCGTATTGAAAAAAAAATGTTCATGTTCATTTTTACTTCAGCATATAGGTTGCACGTTGTAAATACAGCTGTTTCACAAGCCACGTTTCTTTTTAGGGAGGTATATAATATTCATAGATATTTTGTTTTGTTTACGTACTAGTTCCCAGATATGATCTCTATGTTACATCTCATAGAGATATCACTTGGGAATGTTACCAGTATAAAAACACATGGTAGCGGCGATAATTGAATTCTGAGGAGGACCCAAAGTGAATATAGGGGTAATACAGAATTTTAGTATAAGTTTAAACTCTTAGAAGTTCGGGACATATAAATGTTGAAAATATGCCACACAGCCCTATGTTTTGACCTGTGAATAAAAAAGTAGTGGATAACAACTTTCCGTTCTAGGATATATTTTTTTATGAAACTTCATAGTAAAAGTGGTACAGCTTTAGCCGCAAAGGGAGTTCCTATGGGAAATTGCATTGTCTATATTAACAGAAGTGCAATTTATAGAACGGTAAAACTAGTATACAAGCATATAAGTCAAAATGATTATTAATTCTCAGTGAAATCTATACTAATTAAAATGAAACCTACTTGTTTGCCTGTAAACCTTCAAGCCCATACATTCGTTTTCTATTGATGTGGTTTCTTGACGATCTTTTCCACAAAGTTTATCCAATCATTAATTTGTCAATAATTGTCTGTAAACAATTTTGTGATGATTTTGTTCAAAGCAGATACGTCTTTTTCTGCACTTGAATTCTGTTGTTGTCAGTTGCTATAATCTGTTGTATTATGTTAAATCAGATGTGTATAGATGAAACGTGCTGCTTTGTGGTACTAGTTTTTTTGGCGAATGAAAAGTTTTGTTTGTAATGATGGAAAGTGTTGACAACCTTTCATTCAGTTAGACACCAAACCTACAAAAAAAAAGAACGATTTAAAAAAAAAAAGCGGTGGATGTTTGCTTCTCATTATTCATAAATTTGATTTTTTCGTTTATGAATATGAAAATCTTTGTTCTTAAAAGATGTTCGATGAGAGTATTAAACATTATGACTATTAGTTATCGCTACTTTAAAAAAAGGGGGGCGTTAATGTATTCCTCAAAGTTTGTTGATGTCGGTTAACTGATCGGTGTTTTAGTGTCTTTTAAAGAGACGATATTCTTTTGAGAATTAAAAAAAAAGATAGGAATTCCAATTGCACATTTGAACTTGACGAAAAAACAATAAAAAAACAAATACAAAAAATAAAAATGCATTACAAAACACAAAATATAAACACAAACACAAACGAGACCACAACAACAAAAGCACCACACACACACACACACACACACACCTCTGGGTTGATTTTTTAATGTTTTAGAGTTATTTAAATGTTTTAATGTTATTTATATAATTAGATGTTTTAATGTTTTTTTAAATGTTTTAATGTTATTTAGATGTTTTAATGTTATTTAAATGTTTTAATGATATTTAAATGTTTTAATGTTATTTTAATGTTTTAATGTTATTTAGATGATTTAGAAGTTTTAAAAATGTTTAAATGTAATCTAAATATTTTTTTTCTGGGAGAAGACTGAATAAGTTTGATTAACTTGTGTCTCATCCCTTTTTGATATTTAAACAAATAAAATATGTTTAAACTAATGTTTTTCCTCTATATTTAATTATTTGACAGCTAATTTTTAAGTGTCACAATCAGCGAAATATATATTTGTTATTGGCTTGTTTAAACACATTGACAAAACCATGAAATGAAATATCCTCGAAAATCACAAAAAAAAATATCAATCCACGAAAAAAAAACGAATCCACAGTAAAAAATGGACCAGTTTATCTAAGTAAACATCTGTCCGTATTTTCAGAAAGTAATAAAAACAATGAAATTAGTTATTTCTTAAGGAGTCGATCTTAAGATATGATCATACATATTATATTGTGTGTTACTTACAAAATTTTAGCAATCGTTTCGCCATTCTGTTAAAAAGAAATGTCCGTTGTCAGATAGATGTTTGCTTAAAGGCATATATACTGTACCAATAAAACTTTATCTGTTATTGACCACAATAAACTCGAAATAAGTAATAGAATGTACCATGATGACCTAAGCAATTTTTGTCAGGAGAAATATCGTTTATTATTGTGTGCGTATTTTTTCGTAAACTCTTTTCCGTAGCATTTCATACCCAAGAATGAAGGACACCAACGGCCGATTACCCTTATCAGCGACACCCGGGGTGCAATGTTTTTAATGATGTTCGATTAACATAGAAAGTAAATGGGTACCCTTCATTAATTCTTCATATTATTTTTATTAATCATCTGAATTCTTATTAACACATACGACCGAATTCTACATAGATTTACCTTGCTGGTGGTATTAAAAAATCCAGTTTATCTTATCTCATTGTTAGGTCTCCGATTTTTTGAAATTTCATTATCTAAATTCCCTTACTCACATCAGTAAATATCGATGAATTACCTCAAAAGAAACGAGACAGCAGTAACTAAAAAAATTGAAGCACACTTAATATGCGGAGGAAATACTATTAACACATACTGTTGAATACTCCTGTCAATAAGCTATATTTTGATGTCAGAAAAGTCAGCTTAAATTAAGAAATTCTTAGGTCTCCGGCGTTTTGAAAAGTTGTCTTTGCAAAAAAAAAATAACCAACACAAATGTAATATACGAAAACAACGTACATTTGCGAGATCATACTGTTATACAAGTAAAATAAATTCCGTTTATTTTTAAATAAATGAAATAATACATAATAAGTCCAAATTCATAGTGTTCACTGCGGCTATTTTTTATTGTTCAAATAGGAACGATAAATATTGAATACAAAATAAAATTATATTTAAATATATTAAATTGTATTCGTCGGGATAACTCATCTGTTCAAAGGACATAATGGAGTTTTACTGTAAGGTTTCTTGTTCATGATAGTTCATAGTTCGTATGATTTCATATAATAGAGACTATAAGGATATTTTTTAATTCATATTTGGTGAAACGTATTTAATGATAAATGATAAAGTATACATTTACATTTAAATAATAATAAACGATTCGCTGTTAAATTTTTTTTTCACCCGTAAAACATTTTTCCATTATTTGTATTTCGATAATATTTAAAGAAAATGAAAAGGTGGTATATCAAAAAAGTTCGAAACTGATATATTGTCAAATGAATTTTATTATCAGCAGGCACCCTGTCGCTTGATTGTCTTTCCTATCTCCAATTACGATGTCTTATATATGCTCAACAGGATGCCACTGTTTGTTTTATATATTAAATTGAATCTGATGCAATACAACTTGTGTTAATTGGTGACATATGCACATGTAATGAATGTATGCACGGTTTGTTGTGGAAGTATCATCCTGTAATGACATTACATCAATGTGGTGGAACTATTAAAACAAATTTGAGAACTCGAAAACTAATGCAAAAAATCTATCAAATCACTCTTTTTTATGGAATCGTGTTCCTCGCTCTTTAGTTTGACCATGGAAGTAAATTGATTAGTGTTATCTATGTATAGATAGTTTAATTTGCAGCTTTTGTTTTTTTATTTCTTCTTTTAATTTGTCATTTTCTATATATATGTTTTTTTTTTTAATTACTTAATGGTGCAATATATACAAAACACATGTAAGTTGTCTCTCGGTCATTTTAGAAATACACTGTTCAAAATGTTTTTGTGTGAAAAAATGTAACGCTTAAAACACATTGAATGTTGGTTTCTGTTATAATGATGAATGTGTTGTCATTGTAAATGAATATTAAAAAGCCGATTGCTGAAGACCTGGTGACAAGTTTTAATCTTATGCACAGTGCAAGAAGCCCTTCTGCGTTGATATGTTGGGGTTTCCTTGTATTTCAAAACACCTTTTGTCTGGTGCATATGCCACGACTCATAAAAACTAACTTATATTTATTAATTTAGTTTTGTCCGACGAATTAGTGTCCCTGATTTTTTTTCAATTTAAATTTTCGATCTTTCTTGCTGTGTGGAAAAAAATCTCAAACAAGAAAAATGTTTCCTAAGTTTTTATAATCAATTGTTCATGAACAATGTAAATTGTTTTTTTAAAGGCGATTTATTTATCAAAGACAAAACTATGAATCGCACAAATGAGCTTTGATTTGGGGACGACATTAAAAGATCAATGTAGGATAAAAAACTTAATTCAAATAGTTTGGGGTTGGGGTTGGGGTTGGGGTTGGGGGTTGGGAGGGGGGGGGTTAAAATTGCTGCAAGTTTTGTTTATTTGACATCGATTTTACATATATCTGTATTGGTCAATCAATTTTTCCAAAATTAAGTTAAGAGGGGGTGGGGGTCAGTCAAAAAACTATGTGAATTAAGTTTGTTTATCCTATATTGAACTTTTGATGTCGTCCCTTATTGTCCTGTGAATTTTTATCCGTGACTACTTAATTCAGGCAAATTTTCTACCCTTCTTGCACTGTTGAAAATAAGGACAGAGGGACATCAGATATAAATACTGTTAGTATTAAATCGCAATGATAGCAGTTAGAAAATTTTAGATAAGTGAAAATAAGTTGAAATATGAAAGAAAACTTTCAAATAAGAGTTACTCCTAAACACACATAAAAGGGAGACCCACTATAAAAGCGCTTGCGACCTAACTCGCTTCATGATGATGTCTTTAGTTACTACAATTGATAAATCTTCACTTATCAATCAGAGAGAGAGGTCTACTTATCAATATCAATAAAAATATATTTTAACTGTTGAATGACTTATTCTTCAATTATTTAGTCTTAGAATTTATATCTTTAATTTTCACCAATTGTCTAAATTTGATTTATTGAACCTTTTGTCTGCTACGCCTTACCTAACTAAAGATGGTTGAGATATGTTTAGCCGTTTTTACATAAAACATTTAAAAAATGAAAAACTTCTATCTTTTAAGTTATTTCTTCAAAGACATATAGTATCATTTTAAAGCAAACTTATTTGTCCAAGGCATAAATTTTAATGAATGATTGTACTGAAATGAATGAATATATATAGCCTATTGTTAGAAAGCTGGACAAACTTTTATTTGCTGGTGTTAATATGTTTATAAAAAACACAGCTGATATTATGTCATATAATTTCATTACTAATGGTGATTAAACTGCAATAAGCTACGGTTCGGTACCAATTTCGTCGTTGACAAATGAACATATCAAATTTCTTGGTAACAAGGATGTCATATAACCTCCTAGATGGTACTTTTAAGATACATGAACATCAAAACTCATGAGATACGTTTTATGACTGTTTGTTAAAAAATGTCATTCAAGATCAATTAACAAAAATTATGGTTTTTTTCCCTAATTTCTCAAAATTATTTCCCCTTCGTACATTGATTTATAATCTCGACGCGGTTTTGATCTCAATATCATAGTCCTTTTAAAGACCAGTAACTCAAGTATCGTAATTTATAACTCCCATGAAGACTCTAATTAATTTTTATCAGAGACATGTCTCTGTTGTATTTAACAAGATAAGTAAATGCAACGACATCTATTGGAAGGAGTTAAGAGTTATCGTTAATTATCTACTGTCCAATATAAACAGATTGGGTTATCTCGCTTGGAAATGTGACATATTCTTGCACATGTCCCCCTTATCACTGAAAAAAGTTTATCCTCAACTGACTCTAATATCATATTTTGTCTTTTTATGCGCTGCTATATTTAGTGAAATTTGAATTTTTCATTCGGAAGTACTGATCAATAAATGTTTGAAACGGCAATTATCATTGTCCTCCAGTTTTCATTGTACATGAAATTAGAATATGAAATATAAGTTTTTTTAGTCTTACTATACAAATCCTTGCTTTAAATAA